ACTCCTTCATAGCGTCATATTGCTTTTCGGAGAATTATGATGATAAGTTCATAGTAGATGCAAAAGTATACTTATGTACAATATATTATGTTGAACATTGTTGCTCCTGGATGGATCACAGCCAACCCAATTATGTTCAACACAGCTCCATGTCCTTGGTCATGGTGCCACAGCACTTAAAAGAATAAACTTCATAATGCTGACCCTTTGCTTTTTTATTAACAGCATTTACTTGTACTTTTACTTTCAATACTTAAGTACATTTAATATCAGAAAATTACTTTTGATACTTAAGTACAATAAATATCAGATACTTTAAGACTTTTACTCAAGTAGTATTCTAATAGGTGACTTTTACTTTTACTGGAGTAGTTTTCCTGTAAGGTCTCTTTACTTTTACTCAAGTATGGCTTTTGAGTACTTTATACACCACTGGAAAACACCCCCGAGGTTGGAGGTGTTTGAAAACTCCGGGGTTGCGTTTGCGTGTGGACGGTCGGATACGGATGTGTTTAGAAAAAAATGACGCCCACACCCATTTTCGCTACTGGATTGGTTATTAGCAGCCATGACGTCTCCGTCCCTGATTCGTCACACTCACTATCACGTGACCCGTACCCGGAAGAAAACAAACAGGCAGGGCGACCAGTGATTAATTTCAACATGGATAACTAATTTCAAGCGTTGCTCCTAGCACACCAGCTAGCAGCTGTTGCTGCAGTAAAAGGCTGCATTTCTGTGGAGGAAGCAGCTGTTATTGGAGCGATTAGTGAGCCGCGTGACCAGCGGCCAAGCCACAGTTCGCCGTAAATGCTGTTCAGAGCTACGAGCGAGAACAACAGTTAGTGCCTTGTTGTTTTTAGATTCTAATGAGAAGACACGCTGCTTCATTTTACTTCTTCCATTTGGTAGCCTTGAGAGACCTTAGTCTAAGTATTCTTTATGAAGCATGAAAAGATGTACGAAGATATATTCTATTCGCTCTTTTAGTATAGCATTTGTGTCGTATTAAATGCTAATCGCGGTTAGCATTTCTCCATTGGCGGTAATGTTAAAATGAGCTTAGAAGCTAGCTAGTCGGACATGTTACATGATGTTCAGAGCTACGAGTGAGAACAGACAACAACACGGAGGAAACGAGTGAGAGACGTGTGTTGACCACATTGATGGACCCATATTCTAGTAAACGTTTACGTGTTGATTTTAAAGTAAATTTGATGAGAGAGAGAGAGAGAGAGAGAGAGACCCGCAGCGCTGTAACTAAGTCTGAAAAATAAAACTTCTAAAACTTTCCACGAACTGTCTGTTTGAGTTTATAAAGGAATATTTTAGAGGAAGATCTACTTCCTGTTTACACCGTCACGCGCATGCCCAGTGTACATTAATGGTCACGTGCTGCCCGCCTTCGAAGGTTGCCGTGTGGACGCAGATCAATTCGAGAATGATGCTGAAACGGCCGTGTGGAGATCGTTTCTATTTGACAAATCTGGTTCCGAATAGAAACGGAGTAGTATGGATGTAGCCTGAGCCCTCTCCAGACAGAAGCAGAGTCACTTGCTGAGAGCTGGTGTTGCAGTTTCTCAGAGTACAGTCATTTAGCATCTCTCACCGCCTTACTAAACCTGTACTTTGACTCTTTGTACAAGTCCGTGTCCTCACTCCTGAAAGCCTGATCTTTCTGCAGCCTTAGCTGTCTGAGTTCCGCTGTAAACCAGGGTTTGTCGTTGTTGTAACTCACCCTGGTGCTTGATGGAACACAGCTGTCCTCACAGAAGCTGATGTATGACGTCACAGCCTCTGTGTACTCATCCAGACTGTTGGTAGCAGTCCTGAAGACATCCCAGTCTGTACAGTCCAAGCACGCCCGAAGATCCTCCAGAGCTTCACTGGTCCACTTCTTGAATGTCCTCACCACAGGTTTACAGCTTGAGTTTCTGCCTGTATGAAGGAATCAGATGGACCATGACGTGATCAGAGAGTCCCAGTGCAGCACGAGGGACGGCGTGATAGGCCCCGCTGGTTGTGTGTAGCAGTGGTCCAGAATGTTCTCCTCTCTGGTTGAGCATTTAATAAACTGTCTGTATTTGGGTAGTTCATGGCTGAGGTTTCCTTTGTTAAAGTCACCAAGGACAATGATTAGAGAGTCCGGGTTGGTCCGCTCCACGCACAGTATCTGTTCGGCGAGTGTCCGCTGTGCCTCCTGCACGTTGCCCTGCGGCGGCATGTAAACACCGACCAGTAGGAATGAAGCAAACTCACGGGGGAAGTAGAAGGGTTTACAGTTCATAATGAAGGATTCCAGATCAGGAGAACAGTGCTGCAGAATCACTGACATCTTTTGCACCAGCCACTGTTGGAGTAGGAACAGATTCCTCCACCCTTCAATTTGCTGGAGAGCTCCGTGTAGCGGTCCGTTCTGAACAGCTGGAAGCCAGCCAGCTGGAGCGCAGAGTCCGGTATGGATCCACAGAGTCCGGTATGGATCCACAGAGCCAGGTCTCAGTGAAGCACAAAACGGAAGATGAAGAGAAGTCTCTGTCTCTCCCCACCAGTAGCTGAAGTTCGTCCAGTTTGTTACACATTGAGCGGACGTTTGAGAGAAATATGCCCGGCAGCGGTGTACGAGAACCACGTATGCGGAGACACACAAGCAAGCCGGCCCGCTTCCCTCTCCGACGGCATCTCGCTGCATGGGCTAAGGTGAACGCACCTTTGACGAGAATGTCCAGTACTTAAGAGTTAAAAGAAAGTTAAAAGAAAAGTTGGAAGTAAGTCCGCTGGAGTTGTTCCCCTGATGTTCATGAGCTTATCTCTGGTGAAAGAGCTCCGGGTATCACAGCAGAAAACAGTATTTACAACAAAAACAACACAAAACAATGAGCACCAACGCACCGAGGCAGCCGTATGCGGCGCCATCTTGAAAAGCATTTGAGTGCAGTACTGTAATGATCTGTTGTTGTTTCATCCAAATCATCTGTTCATTATGTTCAAATTGAATTAAAGCAACCAATCATCTCAGCTGGACTCAGACATGTAGTATTTGTCTGAATGAAGGGATTATTGTTCACTCTTTCCGTCTGCTTCCTGTTTGTAGGGTTTATAAATCAGTGATCCAGGCCGTCCAGAAATCAGACGAAGGTCATCCATTCAGGTAACGTCATCAGTGTTTGTCCTGAAACATAAACCTCGTCTGTCCTACTTCAATTTCATCCTTTGACCTCCTCCATCTTCCTCTGACCAACTCTATTCTCCTCCATCAGGTCTCTTTTGGAGAGGGACATCTCTGTGTCCTTGGAATCTGCCCAGCTGCTGACCGATCAGTCTCTGATCCATCTGAACTGGTTTAGCAGTCAGGCCAGGAGGCTGCTGCTGGTTGAAGACCTGGTCGACTCTTTAAAGGTCAGATTTACAGAGAATATGTTGACATGGTTGTGAATGCTAGCTCGCATACATGCTTCAGTTCTTTGGTCTCTACTATTTTTATTGTGTTTCCTCTCCGTGTTTCGGCTGTTTGTTTGTCCTCTACGTGTTTCGGCTGTTTGTTTGTCCTCTACGTGTTTCAGCTGTTTGTTTGTTCTTTACGTGTTTCGGCTGTTTGTTTGTTCTTTACGTGTTTCGGCTGTTCTTTTGTCCTCCACGTCTTTCAGATGTGTTTATATTTCCTGGTCCAGTTGGCTGCTGTCATGTGGATGATGACGTATGTTGGAGCCATCTTTAATGGAGTCACCATCCTAATCCTCGGTGAGACTTCATCTTACTGACTTGTTGGTTTAAATCAGTAGAAACAAACTGTAACAAAGTCTTCTTTCTCATCCAGCTGACATCACGTTCTTCACCACACCTCTGATCTACCAGAAGAAAAAGGTAACGCAGAATAATGTGTTTTGGTTTTATGAATTCGATCATCTGATACTAACAGAACATGCATCAAAAATGAGATGAACGTTAAAGAACCTTTGTTCTGAATGTTTCAGCCAAATCATTTGTTTCTGCTTACACCTTCTATAGTTTCTATATATTCTTGTATAGTAGCTGTTTCTTACAGCATGCAGCCAAACTTATGCTTTTCTCAGAAAAGGGCCCCAAACTGCGACAAATTTATGATGTTTAGATATTAAAAGTATTGAATTATGTTACTATTCTAACTCATTGTACCCCAAAATAACTTAAAAAAGGCCCCAAAAGTACTACTAATTTGAATGAATATGCAAATTAACTGTATACAACTTACTCTGTGCTTCTACTTCAGAGGAAAACATTGTAGTAATATATCTACCTGACAGAGAAATGTTCAGATTCAGATTTGATATTCATTTTAGAATTAAAAGCTCCGCCTGGAAAATAAATGAATGTGCTGCTAATGCCTCTCTTTCACTCTTCATTAAAGTAAACATTTAAATGCAATACTTTTACTGTGCAGTGTTAATAGTTTTACTATTAATGGATTTACTTTAGAAGCATTGTTGAGTACTTCTTCTATCACTGCCAATACGAACATTCCCAATGAGAGAGAGAGAAACGTAAAGCTAGACAGTTGTTGTCTGTGTTATAGAGCAGAGCATGAACTCAATGAGACGACTCCCACCGAGATATGAACTAATATCTCAGTGTAAATCCCAACAAGTTCAAATGTTTCACTGATTCTGACAATTAAGTGTTGTTTTATCATCCAATTATTGATCAATAAACTATGCTTCTTACTGACGTGTGTGTGTGTGTGTGTGCGTGCGTGTGTGTGTGTGTGTGTGTGTGTGAGTGTGAGTGAGAGTGAAGGCACAGATTGATCGGTGCATTGAGTTGATTAAGTCCAGAGTGGAGGAGACGCTGCAGAAGTGAGTTCACATATATACTCTGCTTCAGTACATTCTGTGTGTATTAATACTCCTATCAGTACATTCCGTGTGTATTAATACTCTTATCAGTACATTCCGTGTGTATTAATACTCTTATCAGTACATTCCGTGTGTATTAATACTCTTATCAGTACATTCTGTGTGTATTAATACTCTTATCAGTACATTCTGTGTGTATTAATACTCTTATCGTACATTCTGTGTGTATTCTGTGTGTATTAATACTCCTATCAGTACATTCTGTGTGTATTAATACTCCTATCAGTACATTCTGTGTGGTACTCATTCAATGCCGCTCTGATCGTAGCAGACACACCTGACAGACATCTGCACTCTACTGAGTGCCCCTTTCCAGTTATCTGGTTGTTCTGTTATCACATATTCAGCATTTACACAGAAACAAAGTCCACTGAACTGACTGATATCAGGGGTCAAAGGTCACCGCAGACAGCAAAACTGATTCTGCTGAAACTGCAGAAAGACGAGAGACAAATGAGAGGAGGAAGATCTCTGAGAGAGGAACAAGGACAAAAAAAAGACGTGACAAATACAGGAAGAAAGATTTCCCAACTGACTGGAAAGAAAGACTGAAGGAGACCGAAACAAACTTCAACAGAGTAACTGAGAATTAAACAAATTGAGACAGAAGTTGACAGTAGTTGAGGTAAAACTTGGAGGACATTGGGAACATCTGGACGGCGAGCCTGCTGTCGTGGAGAAACACTGAAGGTAAAACCTGGAAGTTCAAGTTAATTCTGTTCCTGGTAAGTTGTGAAGAGCTGACATGTTACGCAGATGAATCACAGTCTCACAGCAGCTCGAGACGTCACGAAAATGCAATCGATTGGTTTTGTGTAAAGTGACATGACGACATTATGCTTGGTCGTGAATGAAGTAGGTACAGTTAGGCATTGGCAACAAAACCTCTTAAGTTAAGAAAACCATCACAAAGGTTAAACTTTAGGAAACAAAAGCACAACTCTTTGGATGTATGGTGTCGAACATCGGTCTTGTGGTTGAAGACCGTTTCATTTGTGTTTCCACCACAAGAAAGGTGCCAAATTGACTTCCATTCGTATTGTTTTCATCCTGAACAACACAAAAAAATTAAAAATTTGTGTCCATGTAAAACCAGTAGATTGAACTTCGTGACTATTTTCCAATCTGCCATGATGCTGGACTGAGAGATGTGTTTGTGTTGAATAAACAAGGGATGATAATAATTAACTGATAACCGTTGAAATAAAAAATAAAGCTGAGCAAAAGTCACCATCATTGATCCAGCTTAAAGGTCAGCTCACCTTCAGTGTGGCTTAGGTTGTAGACCGGACACTCAGAAACCCAGACAGAGTAGCCTGTACCAGACAGACACATAACTGACCACCTGGCATCTAAACGAACAATAGTTGATGGGATGGAGACTTACTGGGAAAGTGAAGAAAGTGTCCACGACAATGCACGCAATGTTGTGGCTAATAGGCAATAGTTGCCTGTTTTGCACGTCCACTGCAGTGGGCGGTAAATGATGAATGGAAGCTGTCTGTGCACCGTTGCAGCCAGGTAATAGTTAGGCAGTCAGCATGCAAGGCTCTAATTCTGTCGGCTGAAGGTTAATGATTGGTTAACGAGGGTCGTTCATTGGTCAGAAAAACAAATTAAAAGTTAGCAGTAGAGAGTCTTATTCCCTCACATTGTACCAACGTTAACAGACACCGACGGGCTTTTGTTCATGGACGCTTGCAGACGCATAGAGTTCACAAATATCAGCTGCCGTTTGAAAACACGTTTCTAAACGGCAGCTGGCGATATGAACCCATATTAAGACATCGGCCGGTCGGGAGAAGCCACAAAGAATGACATCATGGACTTAACGTAACAGAGTCGCCTGTACGTACTGATGTTTTTGGTCTTCTGAAGTAAAGATCTTGACCTCTTTTGTTATATAAGTGTCTATTTTGATGTCTTTTACTTTGTCTTGTATCTGAAGTCTGAGTTATTTTCTTTCTGTATCAGTTCATCAGGTCTTCAGTTGATCAGATCCTTAGAGCATAATGGCCGTCAGCTCACCGAGAGACAAGTAAGTCTCCCCCTGTTAAGTTCATGAAGAAATAATAAATACTGCAGGATGATTCAGATGTTCACAGAGTTTCCAGTTAAAGTTTCTGATAATTCTGATTGATTGACATTTATTACAGAAGCTAATATCTAAAGAAGAGTTATTAATGTTAGTTGGGGAGGAAGTAGCTCAGTACGTAAAGGATTTGGCTTGGAAACTGGAGGGTAGCAGGTATATATGTCCCAGATGGACCAGGTACGGAGTGTGGACCGGTAGCTGGAGAGGTGAGAGTACACCTCATATCATTCTGACATCTATCTGCATTTGATGTTACGGTTTGTGCTTATGCAGAAAAAAAAACAGAATACAAATGTAGCATTTATGTTACGATCAAATAGTATAGTGGACCCAAATGAACCCTCTGCCTCTACCAGCCATCACCTTCAGTGGAGTGTGATCCAGGTGGTCCAC